TGATAATATATAAACCTTGTGCATTTCAATAGATTTTAGAACACCATCACGACGAACATAATCTTCCAAGACTTCCATGAAATTCATATCCGGTTTATTAGCACGTAATTCTCCAACAGGTGATACGAATTCTGTTAAATCTATAGTGAACCTAAAATCCGTTATTTCAGTATTCTTTTTACCAGTATTCCGTGTATGATATCCTAATGATTAAGTAATAACAGATAAGATATAATTATTTATTAGAAAAATATGACAAAAAAAAAAAAAAAAGTAAATAAATGGGATATCATGTTGAAAAATGATAAAAATGAGTGGAAAAATTAAACATAGTAATTGCCATAATACCGTAAATACGCCTATTATTACCCACTCTAATTTATGTAATAACCATAATTATTTGAAAATTACCATAAATTATAATCGCCATTTCAGGTTTGTCATTATGTTCGTTAAAAAATCTGTATAATGAATCAGAGTCCTTGCTTACTTGTGGATCACACGATATAATACGACCCTGTAATACTTCATATTCAAATTCATATGATCCACGTGGTAAAGGGAATGTCATGTATTGATTAGACGAAGTGGACTGATTAACTGAACTTTGTGGTTCACTATACAACCTTCCAAATAAATTATATGGTCTATTGTTTTTGTTAAGTAAAGGATGTCTTTCACTAGTTGACTGATTTGAAGAAAGCATTTCTTCTATAGCATGTAAATTAGCTGCAGCTGAACGAGAGAACGAAGAGAAAGAAGTAGTTGGTATATTATCTTCTAAATCTCGAGATGTTATAGCTTCCTCGTAAGTTGGTGGCGCTGCGTTTACTTCGTCTATTATTTCAGAGTTATTCAAATCATTAAAATTTAAGTGGTCGTGAGGTTGAACATTACGACGATCTGACCCTGTAGACATTTTTATTAAAAATCACAGATTCACTAAACGAAAATAATTAAAAAAAGAAACGATGAGATATGCACCAAAGAAATGATGAAAGAATCGCAGAAAAAAAGACAAAAGAAACACTAAATAAGTGAAAAAAGAACTATAGAAGAAACGATGGAAGAAACGACGAAAGAAGAATCGAAGAAAAAACGAAAAAAAAACGAAAGAACGATGAATAACCACCAAGAAGAAACAATGAAAGAACGATAAAATACTCATTAAGATAACGACTAAAGAAAGAACTATCGAAGAAGCGATGAAATAAGCGATATAAGCACCGAAGAAATAACGAAAGAACGCGACAAAATAGCACCAAAGAAATGGCAAAATAGGCACGAAATTAACACCGAATAAGCCGAAACGAAAAGTCCAAAATAATTATTTATCTACGTATAGATCACATGTTATGAAATTTTTTGGTGAAATTAATAAATGCGACTACGATAATCTTAAATTAAAATTCTGGTGACTAATGTTAAGGGAGTTAGAATAATCTTCAAACGCTCTTTTAAATTCGGATTCAGGCGTTCCCGGTAGATATTTGTAAAAGAAGTCCTGTATATTTTCGTTCTTCGGTTTATAAGTAGACTTTAATGTTTCCATTAAACATTTGTGTAAGAAACAACCCTGTGATTCTTTCATAATTTCTGCAAATGAGTCTATTAAAATTTTTCCAACTTCATCTAATCTGTGTTCAAAAAGATGGAAAATATTACTATAATTTAATTGAAATCCAAGGTCGATTAGTTCGAAAAGTCGTTCATTGATAGCCTTAACGTCTGATCCAATAGGTTGAGCAGGTGGTAAAAGAATCAAGATAGCCCCTTGTAATACTAGATCATTAACGTCTTTACAAACTTCATGGTAGCCGAGTTCTTTCCACAATCGTACGAGTTCTTTACATTATTTTCGCTCGAGATATTTATTTAAAGAATATGGGAATAGCGCTTTTCTGTCTCAACAACTACAACAAATGAATACTATGTTCAAATGAATACTATGTTTTTCCTTTTACAGTTATATCCGTAAAGCCTCGTCCGTTTCAATTTGGGAACGGTGTGGGGTGTACACAGCCGCATGAGAATGGTGTGGCGTAACCACAGCACATAAAATATTTATCAAAATTGGTCTCAAGGTTTTTGTCGTGAATTAGCTCAGACGTATAGAGTAACGTGTCAGGTGACTCAGTATAGTGGTGGGTGGGAGGGAGTCTTCGATAGAGCCAGAAAGTTATATTTTCGGGCGACAGCAAAGAAAAAGCACAACAACCAAAACTTTCTTTAAACCCCTTAAATGTCTACTCAAATAGCCTTAACAATTGGCTTAGTTTAGATTTTGGTCATGTGATGGGAATCTACAGATCTCTCGCGATAATACCCGCTCCCGTGATTGTGTCACAGTCGCTTATCAAATCAAAATTGCTCTTGCGATGACATTAAGTTGTCGATTATTCTCATGGTCATCTTTTGGTGGATACTCTTCTGTGGAATTATTTTAGATTTTCGTGGAGGAAATGGTATAAATTTCATATGCAATATTAGAACTTTTATCTCCTCAAATTTTTTTTAAAAGAGTTCCATATCATTGCCCTTTAAGTTTAAATCGTCTTTATATAAATTATAAGCTTCCGTTAATAAAAACATGTATACTGATATTGGCAAATTACTAACACAAGGCGTCATATTTGTTGTGAATTTCTTATACTATTGATATCAGTTTGTCCTACATTGTGAATAATCTTTAATTCTGAGCTTTTGGTCGTAGTTGCCATAGTGAATAAGAAGCCGTTGAGCAAAGTACCTCGAAAGGATTCCGCCTTTAGTAATAATAGCTCGTGAAACTGCGACAGAAATAAAAGTAGGACCTAATCTAATTGCGTGAAAAAGGCAATGGGCTCGTCCACATTGAAAGATAATCCATTCTGCTTTCGTTTGAGAATCTTTAGATATAAAAGACCATCTCTTACAGCTTAGAATTAAATTCATAGGTTGCTTAATATACTTAAAGGTATTTATCATAATTTCATTAGGCAGACCATCTTGAAAATAATTTTTCTTTGGAATGGTCCGCATCTATTATAAAAGAAAGATATTTAAATTAGAAATACAAATAAAACAATGTTTCCCATCTCCTTTATTTAGAAAGTTAGCATAGTTTTACTAGATTAACTTTTTAAATAGAGAAATAGTGTAGAGAATAGTGCAGATTAATTTCGTTCGATCCACTTTTCAAAATTTCAAGAATTATATTAATCTCATGATTTTGACACGAGAATTCGGGTAGTTTCATGAATCAATTTTGTAGGCCGATTTGCTCGGAAATCACGGGATCGACAAATTTTTGCTATCACTTGTTTATGACTAATAATTATCGAAAGAATATAATAAGAATCGAAACTTGATTTAGAATAAAATATAATTTTAAATAGTCTAATTAATAATGGATAAGAAGTCGATTAGATTAAATTTAAACTAGGGGAAGATATGTCTAAATTTTAGACTTCTAATTGATTTTTAGGTTAATGTCAATATTTTGGGCTCAGGTATAAGGGATCATAATTGGCTTGTTTACCTAAATATCAACTATAAACGGCTTTGTAAGAAATAAACTTGTTTTTGAAGCTGTCTACGCTGAAATGGACTGGGTTTTTAACAGCGAAATGACAAATTTGATCTATTTGATTTCTATTTGTAATATATTTACCTTTAGACTTAAAAATGAATCTACTTCATTTTTATAAATAAATTTTTTATACAATGCTACAGTAAATTAAATAGGGTAACTAAAAGTATGGAAGGGATCATAATATCACCCTATATAATTTTTAACAATTATATAAATTTGTAATTGTATATGGAACCCCCACAGAGGACGATTTTAAATCTTGATCTTTAATAAGTATATGTTATGATTTAGTAATTGAATTAAATAATTTTATATGAATCTAAGGTATAAAACTTATTTAATTCCAATTGCTAAATCTTAAAATATAAAGATCAAGATTTAAAAATGCCTTGTGTGGGGTCCCCATAAGTTGTGCATCAAATTGATATTTTATTATGTAACACATAAATTCCGCATTTTTTATATTATTATATTTATGTGCTTCTTTAAAACTAAATCCGGCAAATAAGTAGACAGGGAATCACTTTGTCTAGTTTAACGCTTATGGCAATAACGATAATAGGAATAATTTAGTAAAAATTACCGGAAATTGCGAGAAAATGATTTTTCTGCATGATTCCTAGTGATGTGCCATTTATATTATACCCGAATTTTTTCGCGTACAGTACGTACGGTACGTATAGTTATTTTGCGCTACTCAACACAAACACAAAACAACACACAAGAAGGCAGAAAAAGGCGTACGATTTGGCAAGTTAAAGAAGACACAAAAAAAAAAACAACACGGAAATAATTAAAGGGGATTTATTTCAGGTTATTTCTAGCCCGATATTCGTTATTTTTATTAAGATGGTTTTACATTCTTTATATATCTTTTTACAACTTTGCATATCTCCTTCCATCTAATCTACTTTCACAGGGCATTTCTAGTCTCTTAGGGACTTTTGGGTTTTGCATTCTGATAGTACAACAAATATTTTTTAATTTTAATTTATTATATCCACCTGTGATTGAGAAGTTCTTTGGAACGCGTTTGTTTAAAGCCATTTCCCTTTTTTGGCTTTATTGATTCGTGGCCTTTCTTATTTTCGTGTTGGCTTTGACCTTCTATTAATTTCCTTATTTAAGTCACATTTGGTTCGGTCACGTTATCGAGGTTAGGTCCTACTCTAGGTCATGGGATCACCGGAGTTTAATTTAAGATATTTCATTGTTTAACCTGGCCACCGCCGACAATAAGATTTACAAATAAGGTTAGGATTGTAAATCTTATAAATAAATACGTACCAGAATAGTTACTTACGTATTAAAGTTTACACAAGCATTGATTGATCGCTAACGCTAATTATTGAATATCCGCTTTAGCAATTTTGTTTACGAATTGATTTTATGTTCCATGTTTATTTAATTATCAAATTATTTTTTCACTTGTTAACCTTTTATGTCAATGAAATATAATAACAAGCGAATGACAATATATATTGCTGCCAAAAAAATATATATTGTCAAAATTCGCATTCGAATTAGTCCATTTGCGATCAATCTTTGATAAAATCTTGATCTTTAAAGTTTATCATACTTTCACTATAAATAATAATAGCTTTACCTTTAATATTATATAGCAGTAACATCATTTCTTGTTCTATTATTTAACTTAAGTATTCACGGAGATTTTGCGCAAAGTATGATTAACACGAAATGTTTACTAATTTGATAAACAGTATGATTTTTACGCTAAACCATTTTTAATATATAGAGCTCAAGACTTGGGCCGAAATTTAGGTACATTTAGGATGCTGATGTAATAATTCCTATCAAGAAGTAAATCTAAGAAGGGTATGAAAGGTGTATGTGTAAGAATTATGCTAAGGACTATTAGTTATATTCAAAGTACTGTAACTTTATTTATTAAATTAGGTACGTTCGTCATAATTTTAATGATGGTACCTAGAATTTTTTGGAATTATTGCCAGGTCACTTTTTAAAAAAGTGAAATCTCTGTTTATACCGGACATGCCCGTTTCTGTTTAAATAAAAGATACAATTTTGTGTTCTATTGTATCGTTTTAGGAATGTCAGCGAATATCACAATAAGTTATTGATCTTAATCGGTCATGACCGGTATTGTAACCAAAGTTTAATTCTTAATCAAGATTGTATCCAAATGTTCTTATGCTCAATTCACATGCAGGATTTACTTATTTAGCGTGATACAACCCAAAAGGAAAAAAAAAGCAAAGATGGGTATCATGCGCACGCATGAAACCTGAAACATGCGCATTTTTGCCCATCAAGAATTTATGTGTTTTGGTTATGCCGTGTAATTTAAGCCAGGGTGCATAACGATAATGGCGGGCGGAATTAAGAAATAGGAATTTCAAAGTTTCCGAAAAATTCAGAAAAGAAAATGGATGAGCATTGAAACCGGGACCAGCGGCGAGTCAGTCGCTTGATAATCCAAATACTTGCGTAACCTACGGTAGGCTTTACTGGA